GTTGTGAACCAGCCGTACCACTACGAGCCCATACAAATCCACATTCCTCCGGCCTCACCGAGCGAACCGATTCACTAATTGCAGAGTTGTAGATCAAGCTGAACAAGTTGTGAATCTTGGAACCATCCATGTTGGCATAGTGGCCATCCTCTGGAGCACCCTCGCCAAAATCAGTCTTGAACGCGGCAGCGCCCCTGCGGGCAAGTTCCTTAATCTGATCCGTGTACCACTGATGCGCTTTGGGATTGGTGAAATCAATAGTAACATCGTCGATCCACACACCCGTAGTGCCTTCAGGATACTCGTACAGTTTGTCTGAATCCTTGCTGGCTGTGACAAAGTACTTGTCCTCCAAGCCCTCCAGAAAGAGTTCGTTGTCTTCACGCGGTGGGGCATGCTATGGTAAAGTAAGTCTGGGGTTTTCGCATTCCGAGACCATTCTATTTACCGGATATTGCCACAATGAGATGCGGTAGCCATTCTTGAGGTACTCTGCCATCTTCTCCTGAGGACTGGCAAAGCGCTCCATATCAAATCGCAGATCGGGGTTCCAATCTTCCTTGAACCAAAAAGTGTCGAGATGAAGAACATCGGCCGAGATCTGACGTTCCTTTAGACCTTCAATTACGCCGTCAACAACCTCCCAGGATTTGTAGCTGTTGCGACTCATCCAGAGACCAAATGACCAAATGGGTGGCATCGGCGAGCGACCAGTAAGATATTGCTGATAGCTTGATATGATCTCCTTGGGACCTTGACCTTGGATGATAAAGTAGTCCATGAGAGTGTCTTCGATAGCGAATCCAAGTGTCTGACCCTCATGCACCCCCACGCTCCATTCTGTTCGAGCCGACGAATTGAGAAACATGCCGTATCCGGCAGTCGACCAGAGGTAAGGAACATTGATGTAAGTTCTGTAACGGGGAAGGTAAGCATTGCCATCTAGCATCTCTGCATGACTCGACGTCACATACCTGGTATTGCTTGTTCCAATAGCATCATAATTCCAAAAGTCGACGATTCTTCCCTTGCGCGCAACGCTGTCAAACCGCTCTCCGAGGCCAAAGATCTCCTCTTGAGATCGAACATCAAATGCCTCAAAGACGCCGCTTCGACCGTGATGTTGGACCACAGAGGTATCAATGATGTCAGTAGTGAAGAGATCTGATCGTCGTTGCGACCAGTACAAGGTGCCGTCGATAGTGCGCGCTTCCAGATGGGCGTCGAGCTTGTGGATATGCAAAGCGATCGCAGAGGTCTCGAGAATAACTTCCATTTCAGTCTCCTCCATCGTACACTGCACCACTTCGGCTTTGCCGACGAGCATGCGGGCCTCGGGAGGGGGATAAGCGGGTTCATCAGTGGCATTATCCAAGGCATCTTGATCGCGAGAGTACTTTAAATATGGTAGGTGTCCAAAAGGCTATCTTGAAGTGAATGACACCTTTCTGATCCTCTCGGTCCACAAATTGATGCATCCTTGATTCGTGAGTTTGGGTTGTCGCGCTTAGATAGCCGCTTGACGCGCAGGTAAAGGACAAGGTGCTTGTAGCTGGATCGAAGGTATGCGACTGGATAGCTTTTGGTTTCATGTACAAGACATATTCATCGTTCCGAAAGTAGTTTGGACCTCGGCGACCATAGTCTTCCTTGTTGCGCTTCTTCAACTGCACTTTCGGATCATTGGCATCCACACCTGGATCAGAAGCTCTCTGTGGAAAGCTGATGCTGTCGGTGAAATCCTCAACCTCGCGTATCACCATGATGTGCTGTTTTCATCTACGTCAACGCTGCGTCCTTATAACACTGCGCGGTGAAATTTGGACCTGGAAGCCTTTTCCCCTTTGGGTAATCGACGGCTTAGGTCCGCGGCTCATGAGGCCGACAATAGGGACATTGGGCTTGTTATACTCTCTTTCAATGGGATGATGGCATGGCAGTCGTGTCACGTACACTCTCTTGCTACTGCCAAGGCATGCTCTCACTATCACAGACATCGCCTTACACGACATATTCTCCGATCTACCTGTTTCCGCGGAGAGACGGAAGGAAGCCCGCCGAAGTTTTGGCGAACCGATTTAAGTAATACGAGCAAATACATCTTCCGTCTCGAAAGAAGCTATTGTGTCCTCACAGATTCGTCCAGCCTTTCCCGGCGACTTGGATGTCTTACTTGTTTCGTGGCCCCGGAAAGGGAGAGGTACGAGTATGGTAAAGTGCATCTCATCGATCTTACATCCCAATAATCCGGCGGGTGTCTTGACAATACGCATCGTGCTCCTAAATCACTCATTGATCCACAGATCACGATTCGTGTCTTCCAAGGCACCTCTGTGCTGCATTTCTGCTAGATACCCTGCTGTCCATGCGGATATTCCACCATGTGAGCTGACGCGCATGATATCAAGGAATGTGTGGAGAAGGATGAGAATTCACGTGCCACACCAAATCCGTCAAGGAAGACGGTCCGCCGAAAGGAGAATTTTACCTCCGTGGGGAAGCGTGCGACATTAGAGAGCCGAAAATGGAACACTGGCTGATATTCCGCAGTGACCGCAATAGCCAAGTGACTTTTGGGAATGTATATATATCTTGGATTGGATGTGGAGATCATATCAGTTGTGCTGTCATGGCTGAGAAGGAGGCCTTTTCTTCAACGGAAATTGTGGACTCCGTTCGATTGGACACTCCACCTGGCTTTGACTACAGAAACGACGTCAAAATCGACGAAGATGCAAAGGTCACTAATGTTGAGAATACAGAGTTCGCTGAAGCCTTAGCCAAGAATCCTCCGAAGACCTTTTCGCTTCCAATGATTATGCACTTCTTCATCATCTGCCTCGCCAGTATGAACTCTTGCATGAATGGTTTCGATGGTTCCATTATGGGTGGTGTGAACGCTATGCCACAATTTCACGAATACTTTGGGTTTGGCGAGACGGGTGCCACTATCGGTCTGGTTTTTGCTTGTTACAGTCTCGGTAATATTATTGGATCACCGTTTGCAGGTCCATCCGTGGATCGGTAAGTCACAAAGCGTTCGTTGACGGCGATGGGGCTAAATTAGACAACTGCAATAGTTATGGTCGTCGATTTGGCATGTTTGTTGGCTGTTTGCTCATTTGCTTGGGTACGGCTCTGCAAGCTACTGCTCAAAACACGGGCATGTTTATCGCTGGTCGTTTGATTTGCGGTATCGGAGTTTCTATTGCTAGTTCTGCGGGACCCGTAAGTTGCAAGTGTTATTGCCACACGAGCCATTCTAACTCATTTCGATAGACGTATGTTGTTGAGTAAGTCATCAAGACATATTATAGAATTTTCCTGAAAGCGACGGGGACTAAACCTTTGTGATAGGATTGCTCATCCCAAATATCGTGGTGCTTTGACTGGCTTCTACAACGGTGGCTTCTACTATTTCGGTGCTATCGCTGCAACTTGGGTAAGCGCAATTTTAGTCATTAATGTGATGCGCGAAGATAACGTCGTTATTAGCTCATGTACGGTACCAGCTGGATCCAAGGCAACATGGCGTGGCGTCTACCGATCATTATCCAAGCTGCTCCTGCAGTGATCATCATTGCTTTTGTTTGGTTCATTCCTGAGAGCCCCAGATGGCTCATCGCAAACGGTCATATCGAAAAGGGACGTGCTATCTTTGCCAAGTACCACTGTAACGGTCAACTTGATGCGGATTTGGTGACGCTACAGGTTCGGGAGATCGAGGCTTCTCTTGGCGAATTCCGATCGGACAAGAGATGGTGGGATTACAGAGAGTTGTTCAGCTCCAAGAACGCGCGTCACAGGACCTGGCTCGTTTTTTCTATTGGCTTCCTAGGAAGGTATGTTGATTTTTGCAGCAGTGTTGACACATGGCTAACGATCAGTCATCAGTTTCTTGGGAGGTGCTGTAATCTCGTACTACATGCCTGTCATCCTTGGAATGGCTGGAATTTCGGACGCTCACCAGCAATTGCTCTACAATGCCATCAACACCGTTGTTTCTTGTGTCTCCGCCATGGCTGGTTGCTTGTTCGTCAACAATTTTGGACGTAGAAGAATGTTGCTCATCGGCACCACCGCCTGCTTCATCATTTTCCTCATCATCACGATTCTATCCGCATTGTTCACTGGCAATCCATCGGATCCGAAGGCGCTCTCTACAGCCTTTGTTGCCTTTATCATCCTTTATGGTGTTTTCTACTCTAGCTCCTGGACTCCAATGCAAACCTTATACCCAGTCGAGGTGCTCACTACACAAACAAGAGGCAAAGGAATGGGCTTTTACGGTTTCACCGGCAACCTGGCCAACTTCATCAACACCTACTCCGCACCTGTTGGACTCCAAAATTTGGGCTGGAAATTCTACTTTGTGTGGCTCATTTGGGATATAATCTATATTGGCATCATTTATTTCACATTTGTGGAGACCAAGGGCCGAACATTGGAAGAACTCGATGAGGTGTTCTCGTCACCGAATCCAGTAAAGACATCCATTTCCAAGCACAAAGTATACGTCAAGAGAGGTGTGGGTGTGGTTGCCGCCGAGGAGGAGTGAAGTCATTTCTATAATGTTTTCATCTCATACAACTTGTATCTCATAACGGGTATGTATTGTATCGTAAAATTTGTAAAATGGGATAAGCATATATCGCGTATTGCCTCTTTATTTGTCTATTGCAATCTCGAAATAGATATGTCTGGGTATTGTCCAAATCAGAGCTTTGACGGAAGACTGGAAGTCCGAAGGGGTTACAATTTCCATATTCGGCCTTACGACCTGCATATAACAATTCGTGCTTATGACTCTCTTTCAACGCATATGGCTAAATCTTTGGCAAAAAAGCAGTTCATGGCATTTTAATATCAGATGATTCCAAGAAGTCACGTATACAGCAACGCCTACACATTTCATCTGCGATAGATGCTTTAATCAGGGTTAGGGTTAGTTAAACAAATTAAAAATATAATAACTATCCATATTTAACTTACAAGTGACCGGCTCCATGGTCTAGTAGTATGATTCCCGCTTTGGGTGCGGGAGGTCGCGGGTTCAATTCCCGCTGGAGCCCTTATTTTTTAGTTTTCTTCCCAAGCTGCCTGCACTGGAGATTATCTTCCCACGTATACTAAGTGTACTAGATGATCATTTTTGGTCTTCAATTATCTGTGGGATCACATTTCAATTGTGCTAGACCTAAAAGTACATTCACATAAAAAGTACATTAGTTTGACAACGATGAGAACCAATGAACATGGCAATCGAGAGCTTGAAACCATATCTACAGGAAACATCAGGACGAACCCTCGGCCTGTTTCGCAACCTCTGGGCCAAATGCGGGACATGACCGCAATAGCATCAGATGTGAGAGGGCGCATGTGCAACATCCAATTTGGGTCTATCGAATATGAGAGAACGCATTGAATAGACTATCCGTCTTTTTCTCCGATTTGACCTTGGCGAAACAATTCCAAAATCGTAATGTTTCGTCGCCAGCGCCGGTGACAATTGTTTGACCGTCAGGTGACATGGCAAGATATAGTACACGGCAAGAGTGACCTGTGAGCGTCGTGACTTGCTGCATGGTCGGGTACTTCCAGAGGATGATTTGGTTGGAAACGAGGGAGTCGGAATAGGAGTAACCGTGTGTTGATACAAGCTCGTTGCACGTCCTTGCCCAGGCAAGATTACAGATCTAGTAATAGCACCTGTGAGCGGCAAAGCCTTTAATGCCGCTTGCAAACAATTACCTGTGAACCAGTGTCGATACAATTCAGCATTGTCCCATTAGCTGTGTTCCAGAATCGTATTTTCTTGTCTGCCGTTCCTCCGCCACTGGCCAATAAACCATGTTGATGTGGGCTCCATGCTATGGCTTTGACAGCAGCTGTGTGTTCTTTAAACCGATACAAAGGTTCCGCATTGTACCGGTCCCAGACATACAGCCGATTGTCATTGCCACCGGAGGCAAGTTGATTGTCGTCTGACCATTTCAATCCGCACACCTCCTGCTTGTGATAGTTGAGCTCTCGAAAGTAAGGCTGGGGTGATCGTACGTCTCGATGAAAAATCAGACTGTCCCGACCGCCAGAACTCAAGACGTAGTCGTTCCAAGCAAGCGCGCCTGTAATATCATGTAATTAGCTTCATCCCGCAACATGCCGTCGCCTATACATACCTACTCGATGATTGTGACCGACCATCGTCCGCACTTTTTTGCACTTTTCGGCATCCCAGATTTGCACGTATCCCTTGTTCGTTCCGATGGCCACATGCGTTCCGCGCTGCATCCAGCTCACACTGGTCACAGAGTCTGTTTTCGCTTGATCACTGGAGCTTAGATCGCACAGTTTCGTTACTTTGGATGTCTGAGCTGACCAGAGGTAAACACAACTGCCTAAACCAACGCCTAATACGTTGGTCGAGGACCAGTCCACTAGATTGAGATAGAAATCGCCTTGTAGCTCTGGAGCATCCAAGACTTTGAAGGGTATCTTTGAAATGAATCGTGGTGCTTTCCTTGGGCTCAATAATAGCTTTTGAGCATCCATGCCCACTGGTGACAAGGAATAGGTGTCTCGGGTCGGTGAGTCTCCGGGACCGTAGGTGTAAGCCGCTCGCTTTTTTGGTGTTCGGTAGGAAAAGAGGTTTTGGGATGATTGTGAAGGGGATGACACGGAGAGGCTACCAAGCATGTTATCGTCAGAGTACTCTGTGGTGTTGAAGAGCTCGGATCGCAACAGCGCTTCGTACGTTTTGTCGGCTTCGTCTAGAGCACAATGGTTAGTGATGATGATTTGATGATAGAGCGCTGCAGCGCATACGTACCTCGTTGGGCATCGTTCGTTCCTGGAGGGAGTTTTCGCTTCGCTCGTGGTGTGCTTGGAGCAGCGTCGTCTTCCTTTAGACTAAACTTTGTAGCCAGGTCAACGCCCGTTGTCCGGCTGGGTATAAATCTACAACACAACAAACGTCGACATTAGCCTCAATGTTCAACAAGGCTTCTTGTATATCCAGTGGTTACCTGTCGCTGTAAGCATCTCGATGCTTTCGCTTTTGTGGAGTTGTAGGTGTGACTGAGACATCTGTGGAAAAGGTGGCGCGGGATGTGGAGGAAGGGTGTGTCGATGATGTCCCTTGATTGCTAACGTTTGGAGAACTCGACGTCTGGTCGTGTCCTACTGACGCTGACGTATGCGCCGGCTCTTTTCCTTTCGCTTTGACCGCGGAACTTTTGACCGTGCGCACGCGTTTCCCAAAATCCGCATGGAGCATGGTGCATCGCCAATGCTCAGCGAAAATGGAGGGTGCGAAGTGCCGACGCTAGTGGTCCAGTTGTCCTGAAACAGAAATGAATCCGTTTAGGGTGTTGATGGATGAGTCAATGTCGAGTAGAGGCGAGGGTCCTGTTTGACAACCCAATAAATGGAATCCTGCAATTTGATTGGCTGACAGGCTTTGGCTCGATTAGGACGACGCGCCGTACGTTGTGTATGGCCTGGACAAGGTGTGTCTGCAACGCGCTGCAGGAACGAGAGGAATTGCGCAACGAGCCTGAGGTTTTATAGCATGGTTTTTGAACTCAAGTTCGAGTCGTGCAGGCGCATCACGTACCAATTCCATAATATAAGAAAAGGGAATGCGCGCATTGCACCTCCAAAGATCAGCATGTGTAACTCGTCTACCAACCTTAAGTGAACCGCCACAGAACCCAAGTTCCAGGAAGGACATTGCGCTTCAATCAACGCTCCACTCCTAACAACACGAAGCAGTCCAAGCGTGTCACACAAGTATTTATAGAGTGCGAGGAATTTCCTTTACACTAATGCTTTGAACGATATCACCGTCTCTAAAGTCAAGGAAGCCGTCAAAGCTCATGCCGCAGTCCTGGCCCTTTTTGGCTTCGAGGATATCCTTTTTGACCTGCTTGAGCGTCTCAAGTCCGCCTTCCCAGATTTGCTCACGTTCTGGACCGCGAAGGACTCTAACGCGTCCATTATGGGGAACGACACCGTTTGTAATTCGACATCCAGCAACGGGTTTGGTTTCGCGTCCTTTGACACCGATTTGGAAGGTTTGTAGAATGGTGGCTTCACCATTGACCTGTGTGGTCACGATAGGTGGCATCAAAGCTCCAAGACTGGCCTTGACATCATCCAAGAGATTGTAAATGATGCTATAAGTCTTTAGAGGAACTTTTTGCTGTGCCGCTTCTTGCTGCGTCTTCTTATCCGCCTTGACATTGAAGCCAATGATATGACCTGTGCTAAGAATGAGTTTTGCAACTTGGGTATACATCCAGTGAAACTCACCGTCGCTCGCCGCGGCAATCTGAATATCTCCTTCTGTGACATCACCGACACCCGAGCTGACAACCTTCACACACACCTCTGGCGTGCACAATCCATTCAAACAGTCCACAATAGCCTCTACGGAGCCGCTAACGTCTCCTTTCACGACAGCACGAAGTTCCTTCACGTGGCTTCTTTCCGATTCCTCGGATGTTGACTGCTTGGAGACATCTAGCATTTTGGGGTATTCAGTGAGCATGCCCTGATGATACATCCACACTTCTTTTTTGTAGGCCTTCTCTGCATTGCGTTCGGCCTCAATCGCCTCCTTTTGCTGTCGCCGTTTCTCATTGATGACTTGTAAATCTTTGAATTGCTGTTCACGTTGACTTTTGGTGATGCGATTGGCGACCACTGTTTTCGCTAGACTCTCATCCGTCGCCTGTAGCATTTCGTCTCCCGCATTTGGCAATTCCTTCCAGCCAATAACTTTGACTGGCGTGCCCGGAGCTGCTTGTTTCACAGTCCGGCCCTTGTCATCCGTCATCGATCTGACTTTGCAGTACGTTGTACCAGCGACCACAATGTCGCCAAACTTGAGAGTTCCCTGCTGTACCAACACCGTTGCGACCGACCCACGACCCTTTTCGACTTGAGACTCAATGACTAGACCTTCAGCAGGTCCTGCGTTATCAGCTCGTAAATCCGAAATTTCGGCCATGGTGACGACGGTCTCTTCGAGTTCACCAAGACCTTTTCCGGTCAGCCCTGAGACCTCTACGGCTGGTACATCTCCACCAAATTCCTCCAATTGTATATTGCATCGTAGCAAGCCTTCTTTAGCCTTTTGCGCATTCGCATCTTGTTTATCGCACTTGTTGATCGCGACGATGATGGGCACACCAGCAGCTTGCGCATGTTGAATAGCTTCTACTGTTTGAGGCATTACGCCATCATCTGCTGCAACGACGAGAACGACGATGTCAGTCGCATTAGCACCTCTGGCACGCATAGCCGAGAAGGCTGCATGTCCAGGGGTATCAAGGAACGTTATCTTCTTCTTGGATGGTAGATCAACTGCAACAAAGCACAGTTAATCTCGAGCTCTAGACAACATACAAGAAGCGGATGTCATACCCGAGAAAGCACCAATGTGTTGAGTGATACCGCCTGCCTCGCCAGCGGCTACTGATGTCTTGCGGAGAGAATCAAGCAATGTTGTCTTGCCGTGATCTACGTGTCCCATGATAGTGACGACCGGTGGTCGACTTGGGTAAATGGAAGGGTCTTCGGGAGCAGGTCTGGTTCCAAGTGAGGTTCCAAGTGTAAGTGACAATGTAATCTCGGTGGAACGGATTCATTCTGCTTACCTAGGGAACAAATCTTTCGCAGCCAATGAATCCACTATGGGATTACAATCGAATTCCAGTGCTAATAAACTTGCTTCATCTGAATGTAACACTGAGAAAAGAACCTTTTAGTCAGCACTCGCATGCCCATGCCGCAAGAAGGATGAACCCACAGTGATCGCTCTTTGTTTCCTCCATGCCAGCCTCTCTCATCCTAATCACCAATTCATCTGTTATACACATGAGCATCAGCGCAAAACGAGGCATACTGTCAATGACTTGCCTAATCTCACTCCTAATATCCTGGCAAGATTCGCAACACTCACAATGTCGGGGATAAAGACATCCTTTTGAACCTTTTCCACCACCTCCATTGACAACTTTTGGGCCTGGCTGAAGGTTGGAAGAATAGGCAGTTCATCCGGATGCTC